CCGCGCCGCCGCGCGCCACCGGGAACCGCCTGGGGCGCCGCCTGCCATGGGGCTTCGCTCGGGTCACCGCGCCGCCGCCCGCCTTGGGGAGCCGCCTGGGGATCACCGCGCCGCCGCCCGCCATGGGGAGCCACCTGGGGGTCGCCGGCCGCCATGGGGCTGCCCGCCATGGGGAGCTGGCGCCCTCGCCAAGCGCAGAGGCTGGCCGCCCGCCATGGGGAGCTGGCGCCCTCGCCAACACGGGTAAGCTGCGAGCATAGAGAAGCAGGTAAGGCGGAGCAGCGGCCGGGGTTGAGCTCCGGTGATCACCGGTGGCGGACGGCGGGCGGCTCGCCGGGCAGAGGAGGCGCCATCGCGAGGTCCGGGCAGAGATGCGCCAATGGCTGCGTGATGTGGCAAGGACCCGATTGCTTTTTTACAAACTTACAGGGACCTGATTGCGTTTTTAAATATGTGTGTGGGCCCACCCCTAACGGTCAAACAAACGGTCAACAATCAGAGCTCTTACATGTGGGTCCGACATGTCATAATCATGATTAATCGTAAAGCACTTGACGATTTGGGTTTTTTGAAACAGCCGACCACCCGTTTGGTAGTTATTTGAGAAAAATTGAAAATTGGTAGTTTTTTGGAACCATAACCTGTAAAGTAGTAGTTTTATGCTATTTACTCCTTTTAAAGCCTCATTGACCTCAGACTCCTGGATTCGCCGCACAAAACGCCTGCTGGTATCATCAAAGGAGTCGTCCAGTTCAATGGTAGAATCTATCATTCTCCCCATTGAACAACTTGTCGAAGTACTCCCGCCATCTATGCTTTATCTCCTCGTCCTTCACCACGAGTTGGTCTGCTCCGACCTTGATGCATTTGACTTGGTCAATATCCCTTGTCTAATAAGTTAAAAAATACCAGGGATACTTCGAGATACATGTACCTCAGTGTACCCCCGCTCTTCTGTAGTGAGTGCCAACGATTAGATGTAACCGTGGACCAGTCCATCATCATGACAGGATGCCATTTGTAAGAACTTGAGAATGGTGGGGTACTTGGTTTCAAAAGACCCGGGTGGGTACTGTTTCCAGTCACTATTTTGGTGCAGGCCTATTCTGGTTGTAATTTAAGCTCACTAACAAACTGAAACAATCAGGCAGGAAGGAGTTTAGAGTTACACACCAATATGTGCACTTGAAATTTGGAAGGAAACAGTATTCTTTTAAAGGAAAACTCGTGGTTTCAAGAATGGGAACAATGTCCTTCACTTATCAGTCCAAGTTTGACACACTTTTTGACTGTTTGAGCTTAATAAGTAATGAGAGTCATCTATTTCTGTGTGCATATTACTTCTAATAATATTCATTTCAATATTACAGGATGATTTTGAAGCTGCCATAACTTACTACCACAAGGTGAGTTTTTAATGTTTAGCCTTGTTGATTGTAAACAAGAGGTTGGACTAGGATTTTACTCACCTCTGCTTTTTTTTCAGGCTCTATGGTTGAAACCAGACGACCAGTTTTGCACTGACATGCTAACATTAGCTCTTGAGACCAGCTGCCAAAGCACCGCTCGGAGAAAATAGTTTAGGCATGATAGCTGTTTGCAATTGCAAAAGCGCTGTTGTAACTTAAATGGGTGTTGCTCTGACATCAAATCCATTCATTTGTAGCCAATTGTTGTAAAGTCATATCTGTAGTATGTAATCGCTCTCAAGTTGATATGTAACCACCCAGACAGATTCTGTATTTGTGGTGCAGTATTGAGATTTTGCTGAAATTTTCTAATGCAATGTAAATATTACAGGTTCCTTTTCACAAGTAATGCTGTCCATGAATATCCTGTACTTTGTTTTGTTTTATTTATTTATTCCTCCCCCCTCTTATGTTGCGCAGTTCTGTGAACCCTGACACGGAATACTATCGTTTATTCGGGGGTTGACTAAAGTTCCTTTTGCAATTTCATTAATTAGCGTGGTAAGATGCATATAGATTCTTGTGCCCGTTTTTACTTCTTTTGGATTATTTTTTACAATAGCTTACCACATACCACGTGGTTAGATTCTTGTGTCCTTGGTAAGACTTGTCAGACTTGTTTGTTCGATTTTGACTGAGCTCAGGTCAAACTGAAGGGGTAATTTAGAGCCATTCTGAGCAAAGAAGTAGCGTTAAGTGTGCTCACTAATTCCAGTCTCATTGTGATTGAAACATTTTCATCATGTTTTTTTTTTAAATTTGAAACCACTCCGCACACGACAGTGCATGGGCAAAATCTGGACGATGTCCATCTAAAACGGCGCTGATTTGCGAAAAGATGCAATCCAACGGATGTTTTGATCCATCGTCTAGATTTCAGGTGAAAAATTTGTCGTCCCCATAGCACTGCTTTTTTTTTTATTGTGCGTGAAAATGTTTCTACTAGGAGCCTTTCCATGGTCTGTCCAATTATGAAATCTTTTTCTGTTTCTAGGAGGCTGTCGGGGGTTGTGCCTTAGGACGCAAAACGCGAGTTCATTAATAATTAACTTTTTTTTAGACAAATCATTAATAATTAACTAGTACTACTACTAGCAGTAGCATATGGCCATAACGAGATTTGAGAGTGCGGTCAGGCCAAAAAGGCGCTAACGAGACTTGCACCAGACTCCTCCACCCAGGGGAGGGGAGCCTGAGTTGGATTTGCATCGACCGACGCGTCGACCAAATGTGGGTTCGCTAGCTGACCAATGCACACAAAGGCGAACCAATCGAGTAGTACATCGCCACCTTCCGCCACCACCCAACCCAACCCAACCATCACGAGCGAGGAGGGGAAAATAAAAAAAAGAACGCCATCCGAGAAGGACCTGAGCCAAACCCACCCCCGCGGCCAGAGCCAGATCTCCTTCTCCTTCCTCCTCCGACTCCCTCTTCTATTTCTATTAAGAAGGAAGCAAGCAGGGTGCCACTCAGATCTCTCCGCCCCTTCCTCGCCTCGTGCCCCCCACCGCGCCTCTCGTCAACGCCGCCCCGCCCGAGGAGAGGAGGAAGGACGAGCGATGGCATCGCCGGCCGCGCGCGCGGCCTCGGCGCTCCTCCTCCTGCTCGCCCTCGCCGTCGCCAGCGTCCTCTCCGACGGCTCCGACCACCGCTACAAGCTCGGCGACCCCGTCCCGCTCTACGCCAACAAGGTCGGCCCCTTCCACAACCCCAGGTCAGCCAGATCTCCATCCCTCGCTCCCTCCAGATCCCTTTCGGTTCATTCCCTGTCCGCGCGTGGGGGGTCCTCGGATCCGTCGGGTTCCGCGGGAGAGTGCCCGTGCCGTGTATTGCTCCGGTCTGATGCCGGGGCGGAATGGTCTGGGTGCGAGGGTTTACGCCGCGTCACGATGGTTAGCACCGCCTGGTTTCGGAGGAGATCTGGCGGAGAGCTCCCGGGGTGGTCGATTGGGCGGCATCGCAACTGATTCACTGCACTCCGGATCTCCTTCACGTGGGCTTCTATTTATGTCCGCCTTCAGTGAAGTGTCGGTTGTTATTGGTTTGGGCGCCAATTTTGGATGTATCGAACGAACTTTTCTGTCTGCAGCGTTAGGAACCGGATCTGTTTGCTAAAGCAGATTTTTGCCCCTCTATAAACGCAAAATTCTCACGCCTTGCTTCCTTTCCTTGCAGCGAGACGTACCGCTACTTCGACCTCCCTTTCTGCTCCCCGGGTTAGTTGCTCACTACTCATTCCATTACTTGCTTGGTTTAGTAAGTTCTCTCTCAAACTATCTCATGCTTATTATGTGTGGCTTTAATTTCAGAGAAAGTGAAGGAGAAGAGCGAGGCCCTCGGCGAGGTCCTCAATGGGGATCGGTTGGTGGATGCGCCCTACAAGCTTGATTTCCGCACGGATCATGATTCCAAGGCGGTTTGCCCCAAGAAGCTTACCAAGGAGGACGTGGCCAAGTTCCGGAACGCCGTAGCCAAGGACTACTACTTCCAGATGTACTACGATGATCTCCCACTGTGGGGTTTCATCGGTAAGGTCGAGAAGGGAGGCAAGCCTGACCCGAGCGAGTGGAAGTACTACCTCTACAGGCACATTATCTTTGACATCCTCTACAACAACGACCGTGTCATTGAGATCAATGTGCATACCGACCAGAGTGCACTGGTTGACCTGACGGAGGACAAGGAGGTTAATGTGGACTTCCTTTACACTGTCAAGTGGAAGGAGACACCTACACCGTTCGAGAAGAGGATGGAGAAGTATTCCAGCTCCTCCAACATGCCGCATCACTTGGAGGTCCATTGGTTCTCCATTATAAATTCTTGTGTTACGGTCCTTCTCCTCACAGGGTTCTTGGCAACAATCCTCATGCGAGTTCTGAAGAATGATTTTGTGAAGTAAGTTTTAAGCAACTTCATTTTTTGTTAACAGCTAATTCGAGAAAGCTAAAAGTTATGGTATCTAATTCTAGATATGCTAGAGCAATGTAAATTTTTGCTCTATCCCTACTGCATTGCCATACATTACAGAAACACACAATCTCAAACTATAGGCTTTGCTTTATTCTCAGTTCTTACTGCAAATACTCATGATGCATTTCCATGCAACAAGTCTGAGATGCTGTTTAGGGCCTGTTTGATTCCTATGATTCCGATAACACAGGAATATATAAGAGTTTGGGATTGCAATGTCATGCCCACTTGAATCCTATGAGATTAAGTTTGCACCAAAGGTTGTTTGATTGCACCATGGAAAAAAACAAATGAATATTTTCAATAGGTTTCAAGTCAACGGATCAAGTCCTGCAAATCAAACAAAAGGAAAAATGTCCTAAGAATCTTTTGAATTAAAGAGTTGGTAGTCTTTTGGCGATCTATCATGGACATATATCTTAGCTTGTCGTGAATGGATATATTCTCTTACATCCATTATCCCATTCATCAATCCAGCGTAATTGCTTCCAGCCAGCTCCACCATGATTCTTCCAGTCCTTATTTCAGCCAGATGTTATAGAGCTGGCAAAAGTTACCGTCCCTAGATTCAATTAGGAAATAGATCTTATAGCCCCTGCCAAGTTTTTTCAGGTTTCCTTTAGCTCAATTTGGTATGGCTGGATTGTTTTGCATATCAGCTGGACGTGCTTCTTGAATGATGTGCAAATCTAGTATCTTTATAGCATTCACATACAAATGTTTGCCCAGAATGCAAGTAGGCAACCTATCGACTTGGTATTGGTTTTTACCTTTAGGCCTATGCTTGATCCTTTATATTGAATGATGGTCTGCAGTTGATGATGTAGGCCGCTACATGATGTATATTAAGTGTATGAAACAGATTACTTCATGGCCATATTCATAATTTGCCCATTGTATGATGTAATTTAGCAATGGTTTGACTGTGTTTTCCTCAGTTTTGGTCTTCTCTATTGGTATATTAAGAGCATCAACTGGATTTCTTCTCTATGTTTCTGAACATCATATATATTATTTGAAGGTATGCCCATGATGAGGAAGCAGCTGATGACCAAGAAGAGTCTGGATGGAAGTATATTCATGGTGATGTCTTCCGGTTCCCCAAGAACAAGTCATTGTTTTCGGCTGCTCTTGGCACTGGAACTCAACTCTTTGCTCTGTAAGTGCTGATGTATTATTTTTTGCCTTTTATACTATTACCATACCGTGTGTAAATAAAAATCATTTAGTTATCCCTTGTATTGCACATATCTAATGATCTTATTTGGACATGCAGAACAACCTTTATATTCCTGCTTGCACTCGTTGGAGTATTTTACCCTTACAATCGTGGTGCCCTTTTCACTGCATTGGTCGTCATCTATGCACTCACCTCAGGAATTGCTGGTTACATTGCAACCTCTTTCTATTGCCAGCTAGAGGGAACGAACTGGGTATGTGCTGCCTTTATAATTCTGTTATGTTGAGATTTTGAAAGCATGCATTATATTTGGTACAGTACTAATGCTAAAATTTTATGCTTGCATTTTCAGGTGAGGAACTTGCTATTAACCGGATGCCTGTTTTGCGGACCTCTCTTCCTGACTTTCTGTTTCTTGAACACTGTTGCCATTGCTTATAGTGCAACAGCAGCATTGCCGTTCGGCACCATCTGTGTCATTGTGCTGATCTGGACCTTAGTCACATTCCCTCTACTAGTTTTGGGAGGCATTGCTGGTAAAAACAGCAAGAGTGAATTCCAAGCTCCTTGCCGTACCACCAAATACCCTAGGGAGATTCCTCCGCTTCCCTGGTACCGGACAACAGTTCCGCAGATGGCTATGGCTGGATTTTTGCCTTTCAGCGCTATATATATCGAGCTCTACTACATCTTTGCTAGTGTTTGGGGCCACCGAATTTACACGATCTACAGCATTCTCTTCATAGTCTTCATCATCCTCCTTATCGTCACTGCCTTCATCACTGTTGCGCTGACATACTTCCAGCTTGCTGCTGAAGACCATGAGTGGTGGTGGAGGTACAGTCATTTTTTCTTATCATCATAGTTTTGGCACTGGAATTGCAGTTTATTATCTATATTATGACCTTAGTAAAGTTTGTTAGTACAACTCATGAGTTCCTGAAATCTGTTACAAGTCCTGAGCTGGAGACATGCTTTTTCAACCAGAAGTCATGTTCTTCCTATGTGTAAACGTTATGCATACCTTGTCATGGATAGTGCATATGTTGATATGCTACAGACTTGACATATACGTACCATATTAGCGTACATAGTTTTTTTTGTCTATGCAGATACATATTTAAATCTTTTATAAATGATTGTCCAGATAAAGTACTTACAATAATTGTATCCTATAATTTTGGATTTGTATTGTATCCGTTTTCCATGCTAGGCGAGCTCTGTTCTGGTTATTTGTTAAATGACCGATCAGACAAAGTATCAACACTTCTTAATGATGCCCATCTAACCAGTAGCCATTTTCGCTTTTGCCTTTTCTGTTGGAAAATCTTGTCATTGTTGTGCTGAACATTTTTTTTTGTAAACTTTTCTAAACAGGTCATTCCTATGCGGAGGATCAACTGGATTTTTCGTCTATGGCTACTGTCTGTACTACTACTATGCTCGATCGGATATGTCTGGCTTCATGCAGACCTCTTTCTTCTTTGGGTACATGGCGTGCATCTGCTATGCATTCTTCCTGATGCTGGGTATGGTGGGCTTCCGTGCCGCCCTGTTCTTTGTTCGGCACATATACAAGTCGATCAAGTGTGAGTAAGTGTTGTTGGAGGAAGAAGAGCAGCAAGCAGAGTTGTACTCCTTTTTGGTGCCGCTAAGAAGTCCCAGTATAGAAAAGGTTAGCTCTCGCGTGCAACAGGAAGCAGCTAGAGATTGGCATGTTTGAGATTAGGCCATTATTCATAGGAAGAGGTAATGAACCTATAAAATTTCTTGTCATTGTGCGACCGGTATGATGAACCGTCTTTCCTTTGATCCCCCCCATGTATTATGTGACGTCCAGACAGTATTACTTTGTTGAACCATAACAGCCTATATAAATTTCTGTGCAAGTTCCTATGGCAGAATAACACACGTGTAGAGATGATGCCTAAGGAAGGGCATGCCCAGTCGATCTGTACCGTTCTACTTGTATCCTATGCGTTCTGGTTATAATTGTCAGATTTTGAAACAGCATTTTCTTTAAAAACCTGGCAAAGTTTCTTCTGAAATTTACCCGTGTGTTAATTGTTGTTGTCATTGGTTTGCAAAACCATTGCCAAACACCTCTGAGGGCCCTCTTTATTTATTTGTTCATAACCATTTTTTCATAACATCGGTGCAGATTACAGAAGCAATCATGATGTAGGAAATGTCAAATCTGAGAGAAAAAGGAAAACATAAAGGAGAAATCAACGCTACTCCGTGTTACTCTGGCGGCATCTTTAGAAAAATGCCATGGAATTAATGGAGTAGTGTGACATTTCAACTGCTGCTTTGCTTATTTTTGGCTAAAGCATGTTGATGCAGGCATGGACTTGGCTGTGGCCTCGTGCCGGTTCTAGCAGGATGGCATGATCAGCGCCTTTCTTTCTTTTCGAGAGCCGCATCGCCGGAGTAGATCGATTGCACACGGCAACGCCCAAATCGTAAAAACGGACGCAGAAAACACGCTGCATCTAGACTAAAAACACCCAAAATTTCCGCATCTCTAATCGGCCAAAAGCTTGCACTGACCCGAGGAGCTCAACCACACTCCTACCACTACCAGTGACCTGAGGCACGTCTCATGCCGTCAACGCCTCGGAAGAGCGCATATATGTGGCTTATCCCGCAGACTGGACTCCCACAGGATTAATTTCAGGCACGCCTCCCGCTGCAACCGACCCGAGTCCTTCCACCCTGCTTCAGAGTCTCGCCTCTCAGCCCAACCCACAGGTCCCAACTCAAACCATGGGCGCCGGCGACAAGACGGCCGCGGGCATGCCGCGCATCGGCATGGGCACGGCGGTGCAGGGGCCCAAGGCGGACCCCATCCGCCGCGCCGTCCTCCGGGCCATCCAGATAGGGTACCGCCACTTCGACACGGCCGCGCACTACGAGACCGAGGCCCCCATCGGCGAGGCCGCCGCCGAGGCCGTGCGCTCCGGCGCCGTCGCCTCCCGGGATGAGCTCTTCATCACCTCCAAGCTCTGGTGCAGCGACGCGCACCGCGACAGGGTCGTCCCCGCCCTCAGGCAGACGCTCCGGTACGGTGCCCATCTCCTCCTCTTCCTCAAATTTCGCTTGGATTGCATGATAATCAGAAGTTTGTGCTCTACGGTCGGTCGTGTAGCACTTAGATAGTAGTATTACATCTATTCTGTTTGTGATTAATTGTGGCCTACAATACATGGAACCAATTGTCAATTTGAACAATTGCCGCTGAAGCAAAACCTAGAAAATACTGAAGAGAGACATACATAATAGTACTACTTTCTACGGTAGATGTAATACTACATGGGACCAATTGCATAGTGTACTCCAACTGACCTCTTGAAAACCACCGGGAAGGAGTGAAGTGGGTTTGACAGGCATGCCGGGTACTAGTCTCCTAGCCACCTACGCTGGTCTCGAGGCCGTAAGATTGTCACTTTGATGTGCACCTATCTTTCAGGCATAGCTGTTGAGCCCACACATCAACGGTGTCGGTCCAAGTTCCAACAAACGTGGATCCTTCTCGCACCACACTGATCTGATCTGACAACCTGAACAAGAAACCCAGTAGAAATTCACTGTCGCGTAAAGCCAACATTGCAATTCTCAGAAGACACAACTAGCTGGAGTAAGCTAGCTTAGCTAGCTCCAAATACAGATCAAATCAGTCCTGTCGTGCATCATCGATATCCTCTCTCACACCCTCACGGGCACCGAACCCAACATTGCAAGTGCACTGTTGCGCCATCCTGTAACTGATCTACTATTATTGGTTAGCAGTGATGGCCTCTGACAGGAATTACTTAACCACGGTGCATCCACGTAATGAATGACACTGCAGGAATCTCCAGATGGAGTACGTGGACCTGTACCTTGTCCACTGGCCGGTGTCCATGAAGCCCGGGCGGTTCAAGGCCCCCTTCACGGCCGAGGACTTCGTGCCGTTCGACATGCGGGCCGTGTGGGAGGCCATGGAGGAGTGCCACAGGCTGGGCCTCGCCAAGGCCATCGGCGTCGCCAATTTCTCCTGCAAGAAGCTGGAGACCCTCCTCTCCTTCGCCACCATCCCTCCCACCGTCAATCAGGTCACCATACATCCCTACATACAGTATATCTAATTGATTTTGTTCATAAAAAATACAAGTAGATCATACCAAGTGTGAAGTGACTGGTCATTTTGCAGGTGGAGGTGAACCCGGTGTGGCAGCAGAGGAAGCTGAGGGAGTTCTGCAGAGGCAAGGGCATCCAGCTGTGCGCCTACTCGCCGCTGGGAGCCAAGGGCACGCACTGGGGCAGCGACGCCGTGATGGACGCCGGCGTCCTGCAGGAGATCGCCGCGTCCAGGGGCAAGAGCGTGGCGCAGGTGTGCCTGAGGTGGGTGTACGAGCAGGGGGACTGCCTCATCGTCAAGAGCTTCGACGAGGCCCGGATGCGGGAGAACCTGGACGTGGACGGCTGGGAGCTCACGGAGGAGGAGCGCCGCCGGATCGCCGAGATCCCGCAGGGCAAGATCAACCTCGGCAAGCGATACGTGTCCGAGCACGGGCCGTACAAGTCCCTCGAGGAGCTCTGGGACGGCGAGATATGAGTAGCCAGTGGAGACCGACTGGCCGGCCGTACGTACGTACCACGAGCGGTTGTATGTCGGATGTCATCCTTGGCCATTGATGGCTGGTTGATCGGGGGACAGCTTTGCACCGATTTCCCTTGGAATAAAAGGATGTTCTGTATTGTGTTTCAATGAATAAATCAAGATGTTTATGCCTACTTGGCACGGTTGTTGTTCCAGGGGCAGAGAGGCAGCGGCGTCGGGTTTCATCATGAGCCGGGTGCCGCATGCATGCGCTCGACGCAAGCATCTGCTAGGACGTGATCAAGCAACTGAACCGCTTGCCAGGCTCCTCATAATGTGGGGGCAGAGCAGCCCACTGCCGGCTAGCCGCCGTCGTGCCAACCGGCCGGGCCCGACAATGCCGGCGAAGTGCCGTGCGGGGCGCAGCCCTTTAGCTAGCTCTTGTTTCTCTGTCAGGAACCTGATCTTGTGTAGTGCTAGTGACTTTAGTCCTACCTCGAATATGAGAGGAGGCTAGGACCTTCTTATAAGGGAGAGTGCCACACTTCCTTTAGGCCCGATCTTTTAGGGTGTGGTGGGCTCTCTACTTGTAGTGGAGTGTCTGATTTGCACCGAAAATGTCCAAACATATGCCAATGGACTGGAAGCTAGGCCTAGGTTGTTAACAAGTGGTATTGGAGATGGTTCCCGCGCCATCGGCAGGGGGCTTCCCTAGGGGGTGGGGTGTCAGGAACCTGACATTGGGCAGTGCTAGTGACTTTAGTCCCACCTTGAATATGAGAGAAGGCCATGACCTCTTTATAAATGAGAGTGCCACACTTTCTATAGGCCGTTTTTTTGGGATGTGGTGGGTTCTTCGCTTATAGTGAAGTGTCCGATGAGCACCGGAGACGTGCAAACATATGCCGATAGACCGGAAGCCGGGTCTGGGCTGCTAACATTCTCTCTCCCTCTCTGTGTGAGAAACTACACGTTTGTTATATTTTTGAAATATAACAAATATAAACGAACCCCAAAAATTCAGTACTACTGCTAGTCTGCTACTACCCCTTTCGGCACCTGAAATACTCCGTTGCTAAAGTCCATGTCTGTTAGTTCTGAACATTACGAGAATTCAAACAAAAAAGGGCATACACCAAGCATAAGTCTTTGCTAGTTCCATTGCACATTTGCTATATTTTTGAAGAAAAACCTCAAGAGGCCAACAAGTCAGGAGTAAGAGCATCTACAATTGGATTTGCCAAATCTGGCCCCGTATACGCCCGCATAACCTAGCGGAGGATCCGCCCGGACTTGAAACCTGTCAGTCCCTAAATCCTCGCTTCCATAGCCGCACGCGTATCTCATATCCAGCATCCCATATCTATACAAAATCATGCAACGTAGTATGTAGATCACCAAACGATCAAAATCGACAGGAAACAAACATATAAACCGATACCAAATGGGCATAATTCACATAACATCATCAAAAGATCACCAAACGGGCATAATTCACACAGTTCAATGACTCGACACGTTCTAACTAGATACTAGAGCTAGATTATATAAAAGGAGAAAGGGCCGAGCTTCACCACTTCCTCGCCGACCCTTGCCCTTTCGGTCGCCGGCGCTGTTGTAGGCGTCTACGACAGGAGATGGGTCGACTTCGTAGTCGGACCCGTCGGAGGAGGACGAATCGGAGATGACGATGTAGCCCTGCAAGCACCGGACGATGCGGTCCTGCTTGCGCTTGAGCTTGGCCACCCTCCGCCACCTCCCGCTCGGACTGCTCAATGCCGAGCCGGAGCTGCTAGGCGTTGGTCATCCGTCTCCACCGTGGTAAGTGATCGAGGGTACACCGACTGGAGGAGACACTCCTCCTCGTCGGGCACCGGCATCACGCGGCGGCAGCGGGCAGACTGAGCAGCCGCTTCAGATGCGCCCCATCTCCTTTGCTCTCTGCCTCTTGCGGCGGGCGGCGCATGCCTCCGACTCCGAAGTCCGCATCCTCGGCCCCGTCGGAGCGGGCACTAGAACCCACCGCTGCCCGCGCGGAGCAGCGGCCGGAGGTGGAGGAGGCCGTCGGGCAGCCCGCGCCGATTTGGCAGCCCTCGCCGATTTGGCAGCCCTCGCAGATTCGCGTGCGGGGCAGGAAGGGCCGACGCCGGCGTCGGCGCTGCGGTGACGGGTGATAGCTGGCGTGGCACCTGACCCGGAGCTGTCACCCTTATCGACCCGCGATCGCTCGAGCGTGAACGGAGCGCCAACTCGTCCTCGTCTCCAGAGCTGCCGGTGCTCTACATGGTCGACGACGCTCGGGATTAGACGGATTGGGGAAAGGGAAGCATCGGGGAGCGAAACGGATCGGAGTGAAGTGAGCCTAGGGTTTGCTCCGGAGGGGGATTTTCTGGGGTTGGGGTGGGCTGGGCGGATGCGCCGGGCGCGCCCGGGCCTCCTCATATCCTCCCTAGATTTAGACTGAATATGAGGGGTGCTGGTTAGCCCGGACGTTTTAGGACGGTTTGAGGCGTCCGATTGGATCGGTTTTTTATGACCGGTCACTGACCGGACAGCCTGTCCGTGCGTTTGAGACAGGTTTAAGAGGTCCGGCTGCAGATGCTCTGACAAATCAAATACTCCAAGGTCCAAACTAGGTTCCCCTTTCAATCGTCTGCGACTTAGAGGGTGTTTGGTTTCAGGGATTTTTTTGTGTTGGGATTAAAAAATCCCTAGCAAACCAAACAGAGGGGACTTTTTTGGGATTTTTTGCTAAAAGTCTTTATAAGCACCTCTTTGATAGTCTTTTTTAAAAAGTCATAGGAACTAGAAAAAGTCATTGGACTAGAAAACCAAACGCCACCTTAATTACTCAAGTTACTGAATGCATTCAAGAATAAGCATGGGTTGCTTCAATGCCTAGAAACGCCAAGTTCTTACTTTTGACCCGGACCAAAGTTTACAGACGGAATCATGAGGCAAGGCTCAGGCCCCAAGGGTAAACCGGTGATGGAGCATATTCGCTTCTCTTTATTACTGCTGCAGTAAAAGTGGCATCCATTGCGTGTGCTTTTGGTTTTAACTGGGGACTACCGGTCGCAGGGAATTCAGCACCGGGCGAAATGGATTGCAGGTGCTGACCGACCCGACCGACTCGTGCGGTAAAAGCTGTTCACGTTAAGGACGCACGCAGGCCAGGAGTAAAGGCATTTTTTGGTTCCTTTTGCAAAAGAACTTTTTTCAGCCACCCACTGATGCTGCTGCTGGTAGCCTCTGATGCACTGCTGCCCGAGCCAGCAACCACACGTACACTTTGGAGGAGAATGTGTTTTTACTGTGGGAGGGATCGATTCTATAGTAAGAAAAACACAACGGAATTGGGATGATTCTCTCAAAATAGGCTTTTGCCCCGTTTTATAAATAGAACAACCATCACGTCCATACGATGAGTAGCAAATCACCGAGATAAAAAAGTCCGTTAGTGGCATCAGGGCAACTACAGTACTGAGAAGAGTGCCAAGCAATCGGAACTTCAGAAAAGGAACACCCCCACCCCCACCGTATGGGTGTGGCAGGATACTACGGCATGAAACCGATATGGGACCAGGAGGACAAAAAAAGCAGTAGCCGCAGGTGGGAAACCGGCCTTTAATGAAATCAGGGTCGAATACACTAAAGACTACTTGCAGTCACGTGCAAGGAGGCGTGACGACAGGACATATTACTCTGAAAACTCACATGACGAAGAACTATATCGTGTGATGTTAAATGCTTCCAAGATCCCTGGAAGGTTCTACAGGAACTCATGGCCATGTGACATTCTGTCCGATGCTCTAGAAACAAAAGAGCCCCCTGGCCATGCAAGGGGTATATGTGTCGATGTCTCGCCCAAGAGGGCTTTCACACTCAGCAAAGAAGAGAGGCTCAGCATGAAAAAAGCGAGGAGTGAAATGAAGCAGAATTAATTGTATGAAAGGTTGAGGAGGGACATGTATCTGAGGCTTCGAAAGGAAATTGAGGAGTCAATGATGATGCAAGAAGACTCTAACACTGACAGATAACCAACAGATGGGAGGGGAGGCGGGCATGGAGGATGCTACCTACTGAGCGACAAGACCACACAAGAGTAGTTGTGCATCAGCTGACCCCAGCGACACTGAGACTGCAGCTGCGCATGATGATACTATATCTGATCTATCTGGAATGAAAGACAAACTGAGAGGCGTGCTTGCACATTATGAAGGTACGTTAAAATGTGCAACAACCTGAGTTTGCCCCCCCTTCTTGGAAGGAGCCTCTTGTTGGACAATATGCCATTGAAGTCGGGATGTGTGAAGTGCTACGAGACTGAAGTAAAGCCTGTATTCAATGAATTTGCCCTGAAGAATTTCCTAGGGGACTTTGATGAGTAGAAGACCTTGGGAGAAACACTGTTACATCACATGCAGTGGCCATGAAAGGAAATAGACTTCATGGATGAGATACCTGAAGCCGTGCCAAGAGCAACCAATGTCACCCTTCAACTGGTGACTTTCTCCTTGCCACAGCAGCTCTCGCCTGCTTCCCCCAAGAAACCTAATACTCGTAATCCGACGGCTGATGCATCAACCTGTGATCAGCCCGCCCGACTTTGTGCCGTACAGGCCATGTCATCGTCCGCCCCAGAGAAGCCACTGGCAAGGCCTACAACAGCTGGAGACGCACCACCGGTTCAGATGCCGAAAGCTGAAGCAGGAGGGGGAGACTCAGTGACACCGCATGCTCAGCAGACAAACCTGGTGGAAAGGACTGCTAAGCAGTCCGATGCTTCGGAACCGCCGGCTAAGCAGTCCGAAGGTCCAGAACCAGAACCGACGGTTCATCACTCCATCCGTTCGCAACCGCGTGATCAACATACCAATGCGTCGGCACTGCCTGCTCAACAAAATAACGCGTTGGCACACCCTTCTTAACACACAGACAAGTTGGCAGCACCTACGCAGAAACCCGACATAGCTTCAATGCCTGGTCAGCAGTCCGATGCCTCTGCTCCTACA